AGGTTACTGCACATAAAGTGCTTAGCATAGTGCTGGCGTGGCGCAGTCTATTCACTGCTCAGTATGTTGGGTGTTAGTATTCTGGAGTTTGCATTCTCGCAGGGAGAGAGATCATATCATCCACACTAAATATAGTCCAGTAAAGCCCTCTAATGGGGCTCTGAACAAAATGCTGTAAGAGCTCTGATGAGAGAATCATGACGTCATTTACAATTAGTTTTATTGAGTTTCCTTTGAAGCAGCTGACAGGGAGGATGGAAGGAGGGGTCTCAAAAAAGGTGACCTCTAAGCTGGACCTTGAAGATTGAATTCACTAGTCGCGGAGGGGAGAGGTGGAGGGGGTGCCTGGTGAGACAGTGCATGAACGGCCACTATGAGCAAAGGCTCGAAAGTGGTAAGTGGGGGGCATGTCCACATTCCAGCAAGTGGCCTGGAATTGCAGAGACGATGCTGCTAAGATGGGTCAGAGCCGGGGTTCAACCACTGTGGCAGCACTAGAGAGCAATGTGACCAAATCCACGTTTTTCAAAAATAACTTGGCTACTTCCTGGAGGATGAACTACATAAAAGCGAGACCAAAACCAGGGAGCTGGTTATGAAATCGTCATGGCAGCTTGAACTGGGCCAGTGGCAGGGAGAATGGAGAGGTGAGTATAGAATCGAAAGAGCGTTCCAGGGAGAACAGAAAGCGCTCAGTGGCCAACTAGATGTCGAGGGCAGGGGCAGAGGAATCATTCAGGGATGACTTCGTATTCTAGCATGAAACAAGAAAAACAGGAAGAGAAGCAAGTTTGGAGAGAAAGATAATGGGTTCAGTGCTATAAATATTAAGTTTGGGGTATCTGCAGAAAGACTATCTAAATGGGCAGTTTAGAATATAATTCTGGAGTGTAGGATAGACCCATCTAGGATGGTGGGGAGAAGGGAAAGTTGAAATAAAAGGGAGAAAGTGACATTTTAAAAAACAATCCTTGCGTATCTGCATAGACCAGCTGGTTCTATGAAACAGAACCAGAACTGGACAGGATACTGCTCCAAAATAATCCTCTAGACCAGTCACACTGGCTCACTCACTTACCTTAATATGCCTGTGTATTCATTCTGCACCTTTTCTTCCCTCCATTCAACGTATACTGATTACGCATCTATTATGTGCCAGATACTGTTCTAGATTTTGGCGATACAGAACTGAAAAAGTCAAAACTCTGCCACTAGGGAGTTTGTGTTTTAGCACAGGAGACAGTCAATAAGCAAGTAACCAAAAAAATATTTTCAATAAATAGACACAATAAAAAATAAAGCAGGTAAGAGGTCAGAAATTTACTAATGGGAAAGTGGAAGGAAAAATCTTTAAAATAGGGTGGTGGTCGTCAGGAAAGCCATCTCCGATGAAGTGACATTTTAAATGGAGACCTAAAGCGATAGAGAAAGCCATGTGAAAATCTGGAGGAAGAGTGTGTCAGAGCAAATACGCAGACCCTGAGGTAGGAACCAGCTTGGTATGATTGAGAGACAGCAAGGCCACCAGCTTAGCTAGAACACACCAAATAGTCACAGGATTATATGTGACATTTCTGGTACTATTGTCTTTTATTGTTAACTGTCACTGTTGTAAATATTTTCATAGATTTATATCCTATCTTCCCAACTCCATGTAAGCCTATTGAGGACAAGATCTATGTTCAAACTTCATACTCCCACAGCATCTAGAACAATGCTTTGCACACAGTAGGTGCTCTTTCTCCATTTATTGATCTATAATTATAATTAGTGGCGATCTCTAGGCCTGCCTCATCCTACTCTCAAACACTTCTGGGCTACTTCCAGAGCTGCTAAGCATCTGGGAAAACCACCAGTGAGCTATTTCTAGTACTGTTGTGGCCACTAAGAAACTCAAGCTATGTGCAGAGCAACACAGAAAGCCCATACACCAAAGATTACCCTTGCTGTTTGCAAACCTGATGGTTTTACTTAGGCTCTAATATTGAAGACTGAAAAATGAGGCAATTCTGCACATGCTCGGAGAAGCTGCTGGCTTTGCCACAGTTCCATACTTAAACATTACAATAATATTATTATTATCCCACAGGGGTGTCATGGGGATTAATGAGACATTTTCAAATCACTTTGAGCTACTCCATTGGGGGTACTAAATAAATGGTATGTGTTCTTCCTGAAGTGCCATTTTTGACATTGATTTGTTGTGATGGGTTCTGTTGTCCAACAGGGCTGGAATTTGCCCACCAACTCATTTCCTATAAACAATACGCTAGCCGTCAGAAGGCGGTGGTTTTCAGTTAAAATAAATATGAAGTGAAGTGAACTAGTCGGCAATCAGAAGTAAATAGGCTGCTGTTAGAAATCTAGTATTTATTAAGCACTCACAGCGATCAACATAAGAGCTTCACAGTGTGATACAGTAGAGAGAACACTGGACTTGGAAATGGTTCAAGATTTCAGGCCCAGCACTGCCACTAACAAGCTGTGTGAGCTCGAAGAAATTGCTAAACTTCTCTGGCCCTCGAATATACAGTAAGGGTGTCCTAAGAAGCTTAAAACCAGTCTTCCAGATAAGGCCAATACATGAAAGGAATGAGAGTCATTTCTGAAGGAGCGGTGCTTCACAGCAGGCAGAAGTTTGTGACCATCCATCATAGGGCCATCCTCTGTTCTGGTCTTCCTTGCCATCGATTAATATTAATTTCAGTAATAATTCCTGCAAATGGGGAAATAAATCACTCTCTAAGTCAGACATAGCAGTGCATGAAACATTTGGTCTTTAAAAATAGGGTCTTTGCCTTTCTACGAGCCATCCTTGCAGCAAGCTATCTTATTCTTAGATTTAAGTATATGAATGATTGATTATACTGCTACCCTAATCACCAGCTAAAAAACAGTGCCCTAGTTTTGTGAGAGTGTGCTACATGATTGTCCACTTTTACCATCTGACAACATATGTTACTGCCTTCAGCGCCCAGCACTGACCTAGAGGTGAAGTGGAAGACAGAAGGACGGGAAAGGATATAGGTGCTTGTTGTAGCCAGAAGAGGCAGAGGTGGAAACCCTGTGGGATGACTGAACCGTGTACTTATTCTGAGTCCAGCTTCCCCTCGCTCCTCATCCCAGGAATCCCAGTGGTCCTGGGCTCAGTAGAAATGTTGACACTCCAGGGCAGATAGAAATGCAAAGAATCACTTGTCGCTAGTGATTCAGTTCAACAAACATATATGGAGTTCCTACTATTCATCAGGCACTTTGGTAGTTGCTGGGAAGATATATTGGGTAAGACATAGTCTCTGCCTTAGTGAACCAGATGGTCGGGAGTGGTGGTGGGAAGCCTGGCCACCAACCACTCTTACTTCAAGTCCAACTTCCAGCGAAGGTATGATGGCTAAAGGGGTTGTCTAGACAACAGTTCTCTTTTGTAAATGATTTCAATGATACGACAGAAAACACATTTTTAAGCCTAGAGCTGACTAAATTGGAGTTGCTAAAGTGTCTGGAAACAAATCGTGTTGAAAGTGACCACAACTTGAAGAAATAGTTTGGGTTCAAAGGAGATAAATTTAAATGATCTCCACGCCAAAATCAAGCAACAGAGATACAAGCTGCAGAATGAATGTTCTCCCAGGTTAACTAGAACGGGGCAAATCCCCTACCGCAAGGCCAGTAGTGGAACATTAAGGAGAGGGGTCTAGGTAGGTACAGGTCTCGCTCGTGTCCCTCCCACGACAGACTCAAGAGGAGATGTGACCTTCCTTTTTCATTTTCTTCTTATTTTCCCACTGACAGGAAATCTCACTGCACTGAAAAGATCAGGCTGTCCTCGCCAATCGCAACGAGAAACGTGATCCTTGATGCTTCCCAGAAAATGGAATCTCAGCTATGAAAGTTGGTGTGACCTGTTCACTGAAAGTCCCTGAGTACCTTTAATGACCCATTTTCTTCAGACTCCAGGTGCGAAACTCATCAGCACTCATTACTCCCTTTGGCTTCTCACCCAAACAGAAGCTAAGTTATTCGGAGCCCTCCCGGTCTGGCGGTCTCCTACCCTCAAGGAGGCTCAGAATGCGGGCCGCAGACTTGCCTCTCCTCCAGGGCGCCAGCCTGGCCTGCCACCCGCTCCCTGGTCCATCCTCCCTCCGTGCCTGCCTCCGCCTCCTGCTCCCTCGGTTGCGCGGAGCCCGCCAACCCCTGGCCTGCCCAGGTGGAGAGTCAGGGACCAGGAGGCCGGATGCTCGCGGGGCCGCGATGCGGGTCCAGGGAGGGTGGAAAAGCCCCGCGGTGGGACGCGGCTTAGCGGACCCGGGGAGGGGGCGCTGACTCGAAGCTAGCCGAACCCAGGGGCGGGGACCCGATTCCCGGAGGGCCGCCTCGGCCGGGCGAGGGGGACAGCGAGGTGCCTAACGAGGGCGCTCAGGTGACTCAGAGGGGCCAGGAGGGGCGCGGCGAGGGGCGGGGCGGGGCGGGCGCGC